AAACTGATTAGGGCTCTACAATGAAACTATACGGTCAAATCATTATTTTTATCATGGAAAGTCGTTTTAGTTCTTGTTGGAGCTCGAAAGTAGTGCATTCTCACATCTTCCGCAACTCAAAATTTTCAGTTTGAACCCGAAACTTTTGTCAATGAGTTATACTGTCAGCAGTCAATAGCTAATTCTCAGGAATAAAGGGGTCAAATGTGTTGCCAAAGCACAGCCAAATGAAACAATTACGCAATACAGGTGACTGGAACGTACACTTCCAGTTGCATCTCTTAATCGTTCATGACGTGGATGACGAAAAAAACAGTGAACCGAGGTTTGGTGTAAATATACATTCCTGTTGTGCAAGGATAAATATTTGCTTCAAATAAAAGGTTACAAAGTGACTGACTCTTTTTTTGGACGAGGACAAACAAGATGAAAGCGTTGTGTATGTGTGTGCGCGATGTGACCTGATCATCAGCCTTCGGATTCCATGTTCACTCAGATGCCTCGGTTCATAGACGGGGAGAGGTCACCAGATTTGAGTTTCACTCACGGTTGAGTTGATCAGTTAAGCATTGTTTTCATCGATCCACCCCGGGATTCGGACTACAGATTCTTTACATAGAAAACAAGTGTCAAACCTTCGGAGGGTGACCGAAATCACCCGGTTATTTTTTTCGCTGTTGGTTATTGACTAGCTAGACAAATTTGAAAGTAGGTTCATCAAATGCCCCGGTAAAATCAATCTAAAGTGTATCTTACCTGATCAAATTGTGTTGGAATTTTTATCCGGTTTTGTGTTATCTGCTGAATTGTGGTTTTGCACGAGTCATGATATACTACTCACCAATTTCATAGCAGTGAGAATCCACGGTTTATTATCACGTGACTTTGACGCCTTAAAACCATGTTAGAAGTACAATTCGTTTATCCCTATGCATAACATACCTCCAATATAAATCATGTGAATGCCATTGACTCTGTGAATTGCTATATTATAAGGTTTGATTGCTACTTTCTTTCCGGGATTCCAAAACTTAACGGGTGTCTCTACGTGACCAACAGGTGGCTATATTTCGTTTTGAAAGGATTATCAGTTTATTGGGGGGGGTATGAAAAACAATAGAAATTCTTTCTTTGTTTTACACCATTCTTATCACTTTTACTTATCATTACTTGATTCACGCCAAACTTATTTTCATTTTTATCCCTGAATTAATTCCAACTCAGTACACCATATACTGATGTGTGTACTTCCAGGCTCAACCGACGGGACTTGGGGTGGTGGGGTGGTTGTGCTTTTAAGTTTTAACTATGGGCGAGGCTAAACGCGTGTATATCTTTTTAAATGATGCTCATAAGATGAGCGTATGTCACTATATTTTACATGCGTGAGTGAATACGACTATGTGATTTCTCAACGGTACACAAGAAAGGTGTGGCGAAGCGGAGGCCCATTGTTCTGGATGGTACCCCCAATATGTCTCGGTAAGCAGAAACTGTTGTCAAAGCCTAGTAACTATAATAAGCTCATGACAGTCTTAGGGATGACCTTGTCAATCATGAGTTCACAACTTGCCACGTGCTACCGGGCCTTCCCACCTACCCACCCCCCTGTCGCTATCACGCACGCACGCACACACACACACACACATACCGAAGTGATGACGAATCAGATAGCTAAATGAGACGCGATAGCGGATTGTTGTACTTTTCCGCATGCGATTTTCAAGCGCTCACATTAAACTACTTTGGAGCGATTCTCGATCGTGTGGCACAATTGGCCGACAAATATCATTAGCATCTCGCGGGGATACTGGAAATCTCCTCACACCCCGCCGCTGAAACTCCCCTTCCTCCAAATACATACTCGAAACATGAACAATATTTGGTTGCCGTATGCTGTGTCCGATAATCCTCTAACATGCATCCACTTATTCCTGATTGTTTGCTCTCATCCTCCCATCCGTGTGCTATCGTTGATGCTTAATTGTCCTGGCAACTTTTGCATGACCCTATTTGTGTCTTATCGCACAGAGTGTCCTGGCTAATATCCCAGTTTAACAGGCGGCCCCTCGCCAACAATTCCTTTGATGATTCCGGCATAAGCTCGTTTCGGTAAAACTTCACCACTTCATCGTCAAATGACCGTCACGATGTCTGACGTTCATTTCATGGTGTTCCCCGTGTGACTAGGCTTATCAGTTGGTTCCACTTTGTTGCGTTCGCGTGTCACCTAATCGACCGCCCTAAACTGAACAGACTTGTTCGCTAGTGTGTGGGTGTAGCCAGATAACTGTCAGTCTGTATGAGGTTCAGTGATGTAGGGAACGATCATCATCTCGTAAGCATTGTCTACTACTTGGTCAAACACGTCATGATCAGTGAACCGTAAGTTCTGATAGGGTTGTCGCACTCGCGCAAATGTGGTTCGCCAAAGCCAGTGGTGGTGGTGGTAGTGTGTTGAAAGATGGCACGCGTGTTGCTCATATGACAACAACTGAACTTCCAGCCCCGGTCACCATGGCGTTCGCGTTACAGACGCCTGAAATCCAGTTGATGGACTCGAGGCGTTGTTGGGACGTCTGGATTGAGAGTTGCATTTTTGTGCTACATGTGGGTGGGTGACCGGGCCTGTTTGCATCGCGAGCTAATCAGGCAGAAGAGAGGGATCGGGGTGGATGCTGATAATCAATTCCTACGGCTACGGAGAAGGGATTTGTTGGTGAGTCGATTCAAAATAGCTAAAGCTATAAAAAATAAAAAGACACAATGACTCTGTCACAACTAACATTTGATTGAGTATGGCCAATCAGAGAAAACCCTGACCGAGCCTCTACAAGAGAAATGCACGACAACAGTTCCGGAGGTTACTTTGTCAATATCTTGCACTGTGATAAAAACTGTAACAAAAAACCAACATCGTCTACCAACTCATATATTCATAATCACATCATTACTGTTGATGCTAACTCGCTACTAATGAATCCATAGGCATCTTGTTTGTTGTTATCGAACACGTGATCTATCTGACCCACGAATACCATCGACCGACTACTTAAATTGCATTGAACGTTAACAATATATTTATCTTTTTAAATCGCGTTCAACTTATCCCTACTCGTTTCCTGTTTCACAACTGTTCGCTTCACCGTTCGTGCTTACGGTGAAACTAAACTGTCCTACAAGTACAGACGGCTTTGTGAACCTTGCTAACCGGGCCACAACTTCGAACGTGTCCTGATCATTGGATGATCGAAAATGTAACAGTTTGTTTGAACCAATTACCCTGTGGTTATTGCGCTCTATTTTTCTTTGCTTTAAATAATTAGTATTCCAACTCACCTCTCCTCATGTTTAATGTGATCTGTTCATTTGTATTCCTCATTCTTGTCCTGGTTGCACTTGACAGTGTCCGACACCCATTATCAATTTATTTGCGCATGGTGACTTCGTATCCCGGTTGATGCTTCACATGACAGCGAGCACGTTTCATCTCATCTTCTATTACCACTATTGAGCTTATTTATCCGGTTACATTTAGGAAGAATTTGATGCTCTCATTCATATACTTATTCACTCCCCCCCCCGTAAACACTAACATTGTTGATAGTTACCATAGCATCAGAATAAAACTTTTATGCTCTTTGTTTGTCTGTCATATAATATTTATAGCATGCGAAACGCAGTTAGGGTCAATCGTTTTTCCCATGTAGATCTGCCGCCGCTTCACCTAGAAAGTTGAAACTTCGAACANTTGTCAGGCAGTATATTGGATCATCCTAAATTTATAAAAGAAACTGAAAAATTTTATGATATTCTGAATGTTATACATAACGCTCAAACGAGGTGCGGAATAGTTTTACGGTCACTTTGCTGTATACTGTTATGTGATCTAATATGAAATCGACTAGAGTTCATAAATTTAACCGTTATTATTTTCGGTTCATTTCTTTCATTTTCATTTTTAGTTCCTTTTATTGAATTTAAAAATGTACAATTTTCAGGAAATGAGAAGCTGCCAATCAGAAGGTTGCCATTATGGGGCAAGATAGGAGGTCGTGGTTGGATTCGACTACACGTCCTCCGGGGTGGTAATTGGTGACGTTACCACCAGGCTACCACCGCCCACGGCTCATAACCTTGCTTCCGATTGTTGTAAGAGCGTGGTGACTCAGCACAACCGGGTAACGCTAGTCAGGCAGAGACACGATACAGTTGGAAAAAGACCAGTGAGAAGCTGGAGTTCTAGCCCAATAAAATACCTGGTTCCAAAAAGAATCACATATCAAGAAGAACATGAACTGCGATTGGTCAGCCAATGATATTCGTTGCATGTTACGAGTGATATAAAGGTTCATTTCAGTCAGCTGAAAAATATCACTTGATTTGACGTTATCAGGCACGGAAAAAGAGGCAGATTTTAGCCTGCAGAGAAGCTGAATGATATGGTAGATACACTCCAACGAGAAAAAATCGCTCAAAGACTGTATGCAGAAAATCACTGGCATAATCAAAAAGATATCTGGAAAAGCGAAAAGAAACGCTTCAGAGTGTCTCCAGTCGGATTACAACTACCGTCGAGTTAAAGTGTTCTTTCTTAATCTCTCTCTCTCTGAGCATCAGATAATTATAGTCAGTGCTTCAAACAGCTCCGCATCTGAAATACACTATTAAGAGAATGACAAAGTGCCGATTTTCAGGGGGCAAATAACTTGGGACGATGAATGGGCTAAGGAGCAATTCAGTAATGGGTCGATACGTTCCTGGCGCAACTTGCCCTAAGAGGAATGAATGGAATACTGGCGAAGTTTTAAACGAAGCACGGTTACGGTGCTATCACCGTAACAGGAAACTGTTCGATAACCATAATATAGGCGAAAAAATGAACCAGAAACTTACATCAAGACGATCAATACTCATCACATTTACGTTTAATATGGGAAAAGAGAAAATTAGTTCATTTTTCAAAAAGGTAACGAGCTCATTGAGATCGCATTGTTCACAAAGGCTTGGTTGTCATACAACAGCTTTCGACAACTGGTCTGGCCGCTCGGCGATTCTGATTGAAATCCGATGGAAAATGTTCCGAGTATTTCGGCAAGGCATGTGTATGACAGACAATCTCAATTCTATTTCGCTCCACATACAATGACAATGTCACTTCGGCTGGTGATGAAACGTTTGCAAGCAAAGTGCCAAATTGCTATGCGAACAGGCGTACTGGAATTCGCTTCACCGGAGCGAGTTTCCATACTTCGTCAACAGACACAAATCTTTCCATGCAATGGACGGACTGAAGAAAAGCACTGTTGAAGAATGGACGAAGTCAGCAGTAGGACTTCTGGAGTATTCGATCAATAATAAGCCAAGATATGTACTACTATTTACAAATAACAAAAGTTACATTCCCTGAAATTTTTCCATCCGTCCGGACTGGACTATTTTGCCTGCCTTTATATTTAAAAATATCTGCGTTTTTTGTTTCTCAGTTAAATTGGTAAATAATCACACGGTGGAGTAGGCAATTCATTTACGCACCGCATGCACCCACGCAAACACACACAGCCGGTCTGTGTGCCATTGGGCAAACACACGCGTAACCGCAAAAGCAATGAGGAAAGCTGCGCGAATTCGTAGGCATGAACGAAATGTGTACACTGGTGTTCTTGTATCACGTGTGAATACTCTCAGTTGAATCAACCAACCATCGGGTGTTGCGTACATGTGCATATGTGTCTGCGGACACGTGACTGCCTGAGATTCAGACACCCCTGTGAGAAGAAACCCCTAAAATAGCACACAGTTCAGGGCACACGGTTCGGTCAGTGCTGATCCATACTTGACAAGGGTTCCACACCTGGGGTTATTGATAACTGGTGATACAACGGAGTGCCCGGAAGCAGTGACGCTTGTGCATCGACCCAATCAATGTCTTGCAATCTTTGTTTGAATGAGCAGTCAAGAGAGAGAGCAAACTAAGTCTACGCATGATAAGTGCATTGTCAACGGTTGACAAAGATGAACTGAAACCGAACCGAGAGTTCCACACTCGATTGATTATCAGGACAACGTTATAGTCACCACACCACCACGTGATCAGATGAAGAAGTGTGCATACCTCAAGCATTCACTTTCGAACAGTCTGGGAACTGGTGGGTTCTATACCCTTTGTAAATCAAGTTTTTGCATAAATGTCCGGGTAACATTTCAAGTTGTCTGACTCTTATTTCAATCAGTTGTTATATCGTTGACCTTATCGGAGACGATGTCGCGACCTATCTGAATCACAGGTGCCCCAAATCCATTGACCTATCTCAGCTGTTTATTTTGCACGTACACATCTTTATGTGCATCATCCCCAAACCGAACAACCACGTTCCATTGATGCCCGTGGATCGCGATCGATCCATATACACCCCATTATTATCCAGATTGGCAAACTAAAAAAACCAAATTCCCCGATTGTTCACAGATAGATAAGAAATCGTTTTGGTGTTCTTTGTCCGTATCCACTCATTTTGTCGCCTCAAAGGTTATATTCCGTCGACGTCACAGAAGGATCTATACAGTTTCTACCCTTCAAATACCAAGCAAACAAAAGGACCACTTTGATCGTGTATCTCGAACGGAATAAGATGTCTATTAAAGTACGCGCATTTGAAAGAGCCAGAAGATGCTAATAAACATAACACTCGCTATACGCCAGTTGTACAGTCTTATGATAAAATTGGGGTTCCAACAGGGACGTATTTTTTCAAATTCAATTTATTCGAGATCAATTCAGGTTACGTTTTGATATTCCTCCTTTGCTACACAGAAATGGATTCGACTGGTCTTCCTCTCAAACCAAGTTAGTCAAATAAAGGATTGTGCTCGGTAAAATGTAGAACTATTCTGATGCAAACATCATGCATAAAAACCACTCGGATGTCTTATTCTTTCTTTTCTCGTCTTTTACTTCTTTCATTGAATATCTAATTGTGCATATATTTTTCCAGGAAGAGAAAAGTGCGCAATCAGTGGATTGATACAAAAGAATCAATAAGGTAGGTCATAACACCGTCTCCCTTCTCCTCCTTCCATTGCGTTTCAGCAAGAAGCTGAGAAATATTGATACTGAACGTTGATCATCCATCACCATTGTGGTCATCTCTATGTGCGTCTTGATCAGTGCGTGGGCCTAGTACCACTGATGAGGTTAACAGGACAACAGGATTTGATACTCAAACAAATGTAGTGATTGGGAAAAGATGTGAAGCCTTCACCTTCGCGGATCAAGGTACTTTCTCAGAGATGAGTTTACTGAACGAATTTGGACGTGTGAAATGAAATCTGCATGTATCAGGCGAGGACTAAATAGGGAACGGTCAAATTGTCTTCCGAAGCACGGCTTACGTACAAAACTGGAAATATTTAGCTTAGTTTCCATCGTCTCATACTGGTCTCTTGGTAGGCTTCCAATTGAATGGTCGCATCTTTCTTGTAAGGATGAAATGAGACCAGTCTTGTCGATTGCCACATTTTCGTCTCGTTTTAATGAGGATATTATTCAAACTAAGATCAAAAATCGAATGGTTACACGATGCGTTATCCTATCGTGTCTGCTATTCAGTAATCTTTGAACAGGCATAAACTGGAAAACCATGCGTAGTTGGTCGTAGTTTTAATAGACAATTTTGATACATGAAATGTATAGTATCGGTTAGTTTCGTTTTAGCTACTAATCATCAATTAGGGTTTATAAATGTTTTGAGTATATAGTTCCAAACAGTGTGAACGACAATCAGTTTGACTTAATTTACACCCTGATGCCACCCTGATTTATGTTTTCTCTTGGTCTCATTCGGTTGAAACTGATATTTGATTATCATTTCCCCAATCTCAGTCAAATAGCTGTGATTACATATGGTTTCAAATGCATCGTATGTCTGTTTCATCTTTGTCAAAGAAAAGACAACGGCATCCTACTACTCAAATTCAAGTAGTAGTACTCTACCATGGGCCATAGTTGGCAACCCACCCATCAACCAGTATATGTATCAAAAGTATCTGTTTATGTTGTAAGACGTTCATGCTGACAAAAACAAAAAAATCAAAGTGATTCAGTGAACAGATTTACGCTCCTCTCTCACCATATCGCGATCTCCGGGAACCACGATTTTCCACATCTAACATGTGTCTACTTTTAATCTCGATTTTTATCCAAGTCGCTGCAAATTAATTTGTATGGATGAGAGGGGGTGGAATACCTTAAAATCGAAAAAAAACAGATAATTGAACTAACTATAAAACCACCACCGTACCGACTTTCCTTTGTCGCGGGATTTTGAACATACCATTCACCAGCCCCGCGAAAAAGACGACCGGAGCAAATTCGATTGAGAAATTATATGTCCTGTGGATAACGAGTACTGACGGTTCATAACAATTACCTCCCAGAAATTATTGTTGCATACGGCTTCTTAACGTTGCGCAAGAAATAAACCATTATAATTACTGTGGTGATCAAGGCCTACGAGATGACGCCTACCCTGAAGCGGCACGTTACAGTTTTTTGACACCTGCGATCAATCAAATTCCTAAGGTAACGTCAATGACGCACTTACGTGTCCCTGCGTCTGACTACATACAATAGGCAGATCGTGCCAGCCAATCTGAGACAGTGCGGTGCAGACAGAAGCAGACATCTTCCAAGCAATACTGCAACGCGAATGGTGCAAGCCTGGATAAACAATAATCTTTTTGTACATATTATTTAATCGCCCTCATTTCTTTCATTTCTTCCAGTGAACTGTGACATTTTCCTCGCGTCTCACTCAAGTGGGATATTACGTGCTATGGCCATTGCGGTCCAGTCCGTGATAGCTGATCCTTGATTCTTGTTCTGTGATTTGCATTAAGTGGTCCGTGTTCCGAATTCAGTGTGTAACACTACTACTACTACAGTCATTACACCTACATACCCACTACGTGGTGTACCGCGTGTCATTAAAATTCTTTGATAGGGTACCACTGAGGTCGGTTGTTTCATCTAAATAAATAAAAATGAACAGTTGAAGTCGTGTGGTGAATTTGGCTAGTTACGTTTGACCACCCAAAGAACGTATTCGATGATTACTTTGAACGGCATGCGTATCAGGAGCAATTCCTGATACATTATTGGTTTTAGAGTCGGGAAACAGAAGCATGATACCGGTTCATCAAGTTGTGACATGTCCACAATCTAACTGGTTACGTTCAGCAACTTGTACATACGACTTTTCATTGGTAGTATGAGTATTCGATAACAGTATGGTTCTTCATACCTAATTCGATTTGATTTCAGGGAAGCGCGAAAATACTACTGATTTTACAAAGTTCATACATTACTCGAAAACCGATCTTCATACAAATTGCTGCATTCCAAACAACCATCTTGAATGAATTTGGTAGGAGTTGAAACAAATTAAACTATCATTTAACCGAAAATCTCGCAAATAATTTGTTCACTTAAGCTTCAATCCTAAGTATATGATTCAGAAAGGCCCACGGAACATGATAACCACATCTGTCTTGTGCAATTACACATACATTGTTCGTTTTACTGAATACAAACCAGCCACATCGATTTATATACTTTATCACACAAGTTTTGAGAGTGGACGACCATTGATTTCGTGTCCGTTAGCATATGAAAACAATTTATGAACATAACTGGAATGGATGAGGTAGTAACATTTACTCATTGGAAGTAGATGAACTATACTATTTACTAACTCGCGTGAACCACACGAGTTAGTGAAAATGGAGATTTAACGATGTATTCTCGTTTTTCCTCAGTACTAACATCTATTCATTACATTTGTCGGTGTTCAAATCTAACTATCTAGTGTAATGCATACAATGCACACATATGTGCTTGCGTTAGAAAGTGAACGTAGCGCACTGGTGGATCGTCTATAGTACAAGTGGTAATTGCTTACAAAACGACTTAGCGGCAGCAGCAGTCAACTACGACAGAATGTGCCAGTAATTATGCCCCTAGTTTGCAGCGAAATCGTCCTGGACATAGATCACTTAGTATTGGGACAGTTTTTTTTAAAATTTTCTTTTGAAATTGGTTTCGGGAAAAGCTGTCTGGTTACAATGCAACAACAAATCCGATGCGTTGCATCAACCAATAAAGTTGGATTTTGTTTTCTGTGTCTTCAAAATCTGTATTTGGATGACCTTTTCCGCTCAAACTGATCTCGGATAGTGGGATAGTCAACTCGCATCACACTTTCTACGCCGTAGATTATGTTCAAATCGCTATTTCGGTTAAAAAACTAACGGGAGTTAACCGATGACTATGAACGAAGTATTCCATTGTATCCTGTCTTTCAATTACGATTGTAACAAGTAACATTTTCTTGTCTCAAGTGAACGAAAACGAAACTACGCCACAATGATTAGAGAGGTTATTATTGACAGATAAATATCTATATACACGTACTAGGTCAAATGTTCGGGAACAATCTATAGTGCTCATTAACCAATGGGATTGTGTCCCTGAAGTATGACTGATCGTGATGAGCACACTGGTGGCATGTGTTCCTCTGATGTGTGTGTGTGGACTAATCAATCAGATATTCGGTTCTTATAACACAAACACTTTCATCACTCGTGTCTAATTACAAATACTCAAATGTACACTGAATGAGTCCACTGATTTCCATCGTATCACGATGTGTGGGCTATGTAATAGCACCGAATCACAGTATAGCATTGCGTTTTCGAATCGTCACACACTCGTCCATGGGACGAGCGAACAACGAACGGATTGACCATTTCCGGTCGATGATGACTGATTCGTATTGTTTCGAGGTTGCCAAACCTCCTCAGTTCCACGGGGACCGGCCCGGGTTGAGGCGTCTTCGTGGGCACGAAATGCGTATCGCCCAACATGTACGCGTACAATGTGTCCGTGCTGACCGAAGAACTTCAAGCCGATTCGCCTCAACTCTTGCCTTTCGATATCCGTGTGGCGATCTGAATTACCCTCGGAGTGCACAATTCAATTCGAACGAAAGGGAGAATGCGTGCAAAATTTCAAGCCCTTTGTAGCAGTAGGCGTTTGATCATCAGTGCACTGCAAACGATCCCGAAACCGACCAGAAATGTGTTCGTCACCTTTTTCTGTGCCTGTATGAAAATAAAATTAACACATAATCCAATTCAATTTACGTACCCCAATACCGAATTCAATGTGTGTGAATAGCAACATATATTTGCAATTACGCAGCTGGCTAGAATACAAGTGCTAGTTATGTCCTGAAATTAACCTGATTTTACCGTTTGTCCTGCATGCTGTGTGTCTATGTACCTACCGGTCGGTGACACAAATTAGACCGATTAGGTCAATTGTGGTCACGTAATATCAATGACCTACTCTGTGAATATTTTGATAACTACTACCCCATCCTTGACATCCGCCCTACTCCCCTTTGCGCAAGTGTCCATTCAAACACACAACGAGGTTGATTGTGCAGACCCCATTCACACGACAAATCACCAACATGTTCGATGACCCGCATTACAATTTGTTCGTCATGTCCACGGCGCAGGCAAATGTCTTGACATACGAATGTTATCTGTCCAAGTGCATCTAATTCTGGTGTGCGTGCGTGCATGCGCACGCGCACACAGCATCCTTCGCATAGCGTGAAAAGCAAATCCGTTGACCCTGGCCACACACACACACACACACACACACACTCCACTCTTTACACCTTGAAGTACAGGCCACCTAGTCTCGTTTGCCCGACCAACACATAATTCGAAGCTCATCTCGTGTCACACGCGCTCCCACCCACCCCGCTATATAATCTATTGCTTTTAAAACACAAGTAAACCAGTGAGGTGGTGGTGTACACACATACATATATATATCCTACACACCTGCGTTGGTCGTGCACCGCTCAGAATCAGCCCATGCGGGTCACCACAATACCACCAATACCGGGAGTTAGTGTTGATTGCACTAGGGGGGGAGGGGGAAGTATAATAGAAGTAACGGATGAAAGTCTCTTGGTGGTAGAAGATTTTGATGAGTCATCACATACTCCAGAACTGGCATGCCCCTCCTCTGCTTCACACAAATTCGGGTGTGCCACATCCGACCCCCACTTCAAAACACGGTACAGGGTTGGGGGTGAGGGGTGGCGACGAAAAGTTCGGTGACCTGAAATGGCAAAACACGAAACAACGAGCACAGACAAACGATAGGCAGCACACGATGAGTCAGTGATGAAGTTCGAGTTGCAGCCTGTCCTAAGCTGGATTGGCCTGACAGATTATGGGGGCAGTTCTTGCGTCTTTGCGGCTGGACTGTGATGTGATT